ACCATTTAGGATGTTTCCTACCATTAAGGATTCATTTCCAAAATAAATTAACTCTTAAAGGCAGTTGGTACAGCATTTTACAGAATAGACATATAATTTGTATTATGAGTTCATTTCCATCTGAAATAATTATGATTTGAATGTCTACTCATACTGAACAGTTTAGTAAGATTCATTAGGAATATGAAAGTAAAAGACCTAGCTGGGCCCAGTGGCTCATGCCTGTGATCCCAACACTTTGGGAAGCTGAGGCAGGAGGATTGCTTGAGGCCAATTGTTTGAGACCAGCCTGGACAACATAGCAAGACTCTGTCTCTATAAAAAATTTGAAAATTAGCTGGGCATGGTGGTGTGCCCCTGTTGTCCCAGCTACTGGCTCAGGAGTATCACTTGAACCCAGGAGGTGGAGGTTATAGTGAGCCATTATATCGCCACTGTACTCCAGTCTGTGTGACAGAGTGAGACCCTATCTCTTAAAAAATAAAAAAATAAGAAAGAAAAAAAAAGACTCCTCATGGAATTCATACTTGGAAAGAAAGGACATACAGTGAACTAAGTAGTAGTTCAGAGTAGAGATGGTACATTTTAAAGCCTGTAACAGAATCTGTAATGTAAAATCTCAGCAAATGTTAGCCACTGCTTTTTAGTACTTTTTAATTTCTAGGTGTAATGGAAGATAAATGGAGATTTAAGCGACAAGGCAAAAATGAAACATTGGAAATTAATCACTCCCTTCTTTTTTTTTTTTTTTTTTTTTTGTGAAAGCAGCCATAGAAAACAAAACAATAAATGATGGGTATGTTTCTTTTTTTTGTTTGAAAGAAAGAAAAAAAGGAGTGAAGGAGAGGAAGAAAGAGGAAGAAAAAGAGGGAGAGAAAATGGGAATGTAACTTTATTCTAAAAATGGGTATTAATAATGGCTGATCAATATTTTGTGTATTTAAGGTGGAGAATGTATATTTTGTGTATTTAAAATGGAGAGCTCTATAAATATTTATTGAGTTTACTTGTTCCGGATCTGAGTTCAAGTCCTGGATATCCTTATTAATTTTCTGTCTTGTTGAGTCTAAATCTCTTTATGAGTCTTATGTATCTGGGTGTTAGGATTGTTAGCTCTTATTGTTACATTGATCCTTTTACCACTATATCTTTCTTGCTTTGAAATCTATTTTATCAGATGCGAGACTTGCAACTCCTGCTTTTTATTTATTTATTTATTTTTGCTCTCCATTTCGTTGGTAAATCTTTCTCCATCCCTTTGTTTTAAGTCTTTGTGTATCTTTGGATGTGAAATGGGTCTGGTTGTAGCATATCGTTAGGTTTTGGCTGTATCTTTTGATTGGGGGATTTAGTTGACTTAAATTTAGGGTTACTGCTATTTGATGTTAACTGGCTATTTTATCCATTCATTGATGTAAATTCTTCTTTATGTTGATGCTCTTTACTTTTTGGTATATTTTTAGAAAGCCTAATACTGGTTGTTCCTTTCTATGTGTAATGCTTCTTTCAGAAGCTCTTGTAAAGCCGGCCTGGTGGTAATAAAATCTCTAAGTACTTGCTTGTTCATAAAAGATTTTATTTTTCCTTCAATTGTGAAGCTTAGTTTGGCAGGATATGAAATTCTGGGCTGAAAGTTCTGTTCTTTAAGGATGTTGAATATCAGCCCCCACTCTATTCTGGCTTGTAGGGTTTCTGCTGAGAGATCTGCTGAAATGAAAGTCTAATAGGCTTTCCTTTGTGGGTAACCTGACCTTTCTCTCTGGCTGCCCTTAGTATTTTCTCCTTAGTTTCAACCCTGGTGAATCTAACGATCATGTGCCTTGGGGTTGCTCTTCTTGAGGAATATCTTTGTGGTGTTCTCTGTATTACCTGGGGTTGAATATTGTGCGCTTTGCTAGATTCAGAAAGTTTTCCTGAATAATATCCTGAAGGGTATTTTCCAGCTTGGATTCATTCTCTTTGTCGTATTTAGGTACACCTATCAAATGTAAATTAGGTCTTTTCACATAGTCCCATATTTCTTGGAGACTTTGCTCATTCCTTTTTATCCTTTTTTCTCTATTCTTGTCTTCTCATTTTATTTCATTAAGTAGGTCTTCAACTTCTGATAATCTTTCTTCTGCTTGATCAATTCGGCTATTCAAACTTGTGCATATTTCGCTAAGTTTTTGTGTTGTGTTTTTCAACTCCGTTAGTTCATTATATTCCTCTCTATATTGTCTATTCTTGTTAGCATTTCGTCAAACCTTTTTTCAGAGTTCTTAGTTTCTTTACATTGGGTTAGAACAAGTTCTTTTAACTCCCAGAAGTTTCTTATCATCCACCTTCTGAAGCCTACTTCTGATAATGGCACACAGTCCTTTTCCATCAGGGCTTGTTCCGTTGCTGATGAGGAACTGTAATCCCCTGTAGAGGGAAAGGGGTTCTGATTTTGGGTATTCTCAGCCTTTTTAGGCTGGTTTCTTCCCTTTGTAAACTTATCCATCTGTCATCTTTACAATTACCGCCTTTCTAGTTGGGTTTCTGAGTGACGCCCAGTTTATTGATTCCCAGCGCCGGAATCCGAGCAACCCACTGCGCCGGCCAAAACAGCAGCGATAAGACTGATGGTGCTCTTCTGCCCGGGAATTTCCTCCCGTTTACTCTGCACGAAGAGCTGCTGCGCTGAAGCACCGGCAAAACCGCTGGGCCAGCCGCCAAGAGTCACGCTGGCGACCCGTGGGGCCCCTCCACTGGGAATCTTCTGGTCCGTGAGCGACAAAAATTCGTCTGAAATTTCGTCTGAAAGTGTGGCGTCCTCTCGTTCTCTGCGCTTTCATGGGAGCTACAATCTCGAACTGTTAGCAATCAGCCATCTTGGATCTCTCTCCAATCACTCCCTTCTTTAATTGGACAGTGGATACACTAAAGAGTATTTGTTTAGGAAGCAAGACTTCATTCAACCAATTCTGATTCATTATGTTTTTAAAGTCTCTATGAATACAGATACTTTGGTGATAAAATGAATAATTTGGTCACTTATATAATACAGGATATTAATTCTTTTATATATTGTGTGTTAATATATGTGAATGTTTACTTACGTGTGGTTTTCATAAGAGATTGAAACAGAAACCAAATCTGTTATCATTTGATCTTTTCCTTTTTACAGTGTCCTGATGTTTCTAGTTATGGGTACACAGGAACATAAGAACTGGATATGGAAAGAATGCTGTTGAGATTTAAAATGCATAGGATTTAAGTCATTGGTACTCATAGGTGTTGTGTACATACTGTTGCCAGCACATAATGTGGTTAGAGTTTTGTTTCTGGAGTCAGTCTACCTGGATTTAAATTCTAACAGTTCCACTTATGCTTAACCTCTGATTCATTTTCCTTATCAATAAAGTTGAATTAATAATAGTGCCTACTTTATAGGGTTTAATTGACAGTTAATTGAGATAGTATCTGTAAATTGTGTAGCACAGTGCCTGAACCCCAAAGTATTATCTAATGCTATTGCTAATGGAGTGCTCTGAGGGAGTGCTCTGAGGGTAACTACTTCTAATGGTAGCTCCCAGAATCTAGATAAACTGTTCTCCATCTAAACTTAACAGTTTTCTCTTTTACATACTGACATAAAAAAATAAAAATTAATTTACCAGATTTCAGAATTCTTGAAGTAACCTGCCAACTCTGTCCTAAGCAAAATAAAACTCTGGAGGTACCTCCCAATTATTTCAGTTACACAAGCATAAATGGATTGAATAGGATAATAGCTGGTTTTTTACTGAATTTAGAAATGAGTTACTTTTATGAGCCATGGAAAATTATTTAAACAGCACCATTAGCCTATCGCTTTCCTCTCTGGCCTGAAAAAATAGAAATGTAAAAAGAATAGTTTAGTAACAGCTATTTTCCACTCTTCTTGAAGGTGTAGGGATGGTTCAGACGTTACTAAGAGAATGTCTGTCTTGAAATGTCAGTACTTGAGATCATAGACAATGCAGAGTTTGAAAGTACTGGATTTTAAAAAGAAATAATAAACTTATAGTGAATTTAATTTAGCTAATAATAAATTTAGTGAATAAGAAATGTTATCTTGTTAGACTCATAGAAGGAGAGAGTAGAATGGTTGGTAACCAGATACTTGTGGTAAGGATAAGAGGAGGGTGTAGGGAAGTGGGAGATGTTAGTCAAAGGTACAAAATTTTGGTTACACAAGAGGAATAAGTACTAGTGATCTATTGCATAGCATGGTGACTATAGTTAATAATAATGTATATTTCAAAATTTCTAAAAGTACATTTTAAATGTTCTCACCACAAACAGAAATAGATATGTGAGGTGATGGAAATATTAATTAGCCTGATCTAATTGTTTCATAGTATATACATGTATCATAATAATGCATTGTACCCCATAAATATATATATAATCATGATTTGTCAATTAAAAATAAATAATGAAATAAAAATGTTATCTTTTTGGTATGATATGCTTTAAAAATAGTATAGTTTCTTTTTATAGTAAACATTTGAGATTTGAGTTTATTTTGAAATATTGCTTAAATAATATTTCAAATTTATTATTTTCAGGATTGAACTATTTGTATGACTATTATAGTAAAATCATAGATTCTCAACATGCATATATTAAAAGGTCTTATAATTCAAAGAAATAGTCTGTTCGTTTTAAATAATAATAGCCACTGCCTTTTAGGTAGTTAATATGGGCTAGGTACTTTATTAAGTATTTAAAATACATTATTTAATTGTGTTAATACCACCCATACACCTGGTCCTATAAAGCTACACTTTATTTACAGCCGTTTCAACTAATATATTTTCCTTGTATTATAACCATTATTATCTTTATTATACAAATGTTATGCTTAAATATTATGTGAGCTAACTGATTGTAAAATGTATCTGGTTTGGGGATATTTAAAGATGTACTTTCTTTTTCCCAGAGTTTAAGAATCTTAAATATTACATTGATAATTGTTTTCTTTGTTACAGAACTATAAGAGTAAATGGGTCCAGTAATTGGAATGACTCCAGATAAGAGAGCTGAAACCCCAGGAGTTGAAAAGATTGCAGGATTAAGCCAGATTTACAAAATGGGAAGCTTGCCTGAAGCTGTTGATGCTGCCAGGCCAAAGGCCACTCTAGTGGACAGTGAGTCAGCAGATGATGAACTCACAAACTTGAACTGGCTTCATGAAAATACTAATCTTCTAACAAACTTCAGCCTTGGAACTGAGGGTCTTCCAATTGTTAGTCCATTGTATGACATAGAGGGAGATGATGTGCCATCCTTTGGACCACCTTGCTACCAGAACCAAGAAAAAAAATCAGCAACTTCAAAACCCCCATACTCCTTTAGTCTTCTCATTTATATGGCTATTGAGCACTCTCCAAATAAATGTTTGCCTGTCAAAGAAATTTATAGCTGGATTCTGGATCATTTTCCGTATTTTGCTACTGCACCAACAGGCTGGAAGAATTCTGTGCGACATAATCTGTCCCTGAATAAATGTTTTCAGAAAGTGGAAAGAAGCCATGGCAAGGTCAGTGTTTATGAACATTACTATATTTGGTGAGGTGGGGGAATTAGTTAACATGAAGCCCTTAAAATATCTGGAAATTGGGGAGACAAAAAGTCAAGTCAGATTACTTCAGATGAACTTAATTATATTCATCATTTGTTTTCATTTGAGTTTTAAAATTTCTTAAATATTGATATAAATTTAGCAGAATTAAGTTTCATCTACTATAGGTACCTAGATTAGTCTTTTAATTATTTCAATTCTTTGTTTCTGGTTTCTGTAATGTTCCTATAACTATCACTATTTGATTCTTTATTCAGTATGATAATCTCTGCCTTAAAATCAAAGTATTGACCATTTAAATTAATGAAATTGATATGGTTGGATTTAAATCTATCATCTTGCTATTTATTTTTCTTTCCTACTTTTCCTGCCTTTTTTGGGTTGAGGTGTTTTTTGGTTTTGGTTTTTTGGTGGTTTTTTTTTTTTTTGAGACAGTCTTGCTCTGTTGCCCAGTCTGAAGTGCAGTGGTGCAATCTCAGCTTACTGCAACCTCCATCTCCTGAGTTTCACCAAGTCTTATGCCTAAGTACCCACAATAGCTGGGACTACAGGTGCATGTCACCACACCCAGCTAATTTTTGTATTTTTTGTAGAGATGGGGTTTTGCCATGTTGCCCAGGCTGGTCTTGGAACTCCTGACCTCAAGTAATCCACCCACTTCGACCTCCCAGAGTGTTGGGATTATAAGTGTGAGCCACTGTGCCTGGCCAAGGTGTTTTTCTTGTTTGTTTGCTTTTTTTTTTTTTAATGTTTCAATTTTATCTCTACTGTTAGCTTATTATTAATTTATTTTAGTGGTTGCTATACGGTTTTCTGTATACATCTTTTTCATTGGCCCACCTTTAAATAATATTACACCATTTCACTTAACTGACTCTTTACAGAAAAAGTTGCCTGATACCTGATGCCCTATTGGATCAATTTCTTTTGCCTGGAGACAAAAGATTTATAATTTCTCATTATTCAGTTTGGCTGGCAATAATTGTTTTTAACTTTTTTGTGGGGTGTGGGTTTAGAATTCTAGGCTGACATTTGTTTTCTTCTATATATTTTAAAGATGGTTTATTTGTCTTCTGGTTCCCATAGTTTCTGGTGAGGTGTCTGCTGTCATTCTTATCTTTGTTCCTCTGTATGCAATGTTTCTTTTTTTACTCACTATCTTCAGTATTTTTCCTTTATCTTTTTATCACTGCTTTTCAGCAGATTGACTATAATGGGCCTAGTTGCGTTTTTCTTTATTTTTATCTTACTTTGGTTTCTCAGTGGTTCTTAAATGTGTGGTTGATTGTCTTTCATTGAATTTAGGAAATTTTTGTTCATTATCTCTTCAGGTATCTCTTCAGGCCTCACGCCTACTTTTAGGACTCCAAGAAAAATATGTTAGACCATTTGCTATTCTCCCACTTTAGGTTGGATCATTTTTTTTTTTTTTGAGACAGAGTTTCCCTCTTGTTACCCAGGATGGAGTGCAATGGTGCCATCTCAGCTCACTGCATCCTCCACCTCCTGGGTTCAGGCAATTCTCCTGCCTCAGCCTCCAGGAGTAGCTGGGATTACAGGCACACACCACCATGCCCAGCTAATTTTTTGTATTTTTAGTAGAGATGGGGTTTCACCTTGTTGACCAGGATGGTCTCGATCTCTTGACCTCGTGATCCACCCGCCTCAGCCTCCCAAAGTGCTGGGATTACAGGTGTGAGCCACCACTCCCAGCCAGTTTGGATAATTTTTATTGATCTTTCTATAGGTTCACCCTTTTCTTTATTGCATTCATTCTGCTGATAAGCCCCAGTGAAGGACTCCTTCATATTTTTTATTTCTAATGTTTTTATTTTCCTTTTAAAAGTTTTTGTCTCTTCTAAAATTCCCCACTAGATCTATAAACATATTATTTATAGTTATTGAAACTCAATATTTTGTCCATCTCTAGGTCTGGTTTTGTTGACTGTTTTAATCTCTGGTTTTTGTATGTCTTTTATAATGTTGGATTGAATATCAGAGATTGTAAAAGAATGGCAGGGACTGAGGTAAATAATATTTCTATCCAGAAATAGGCATGCCTCTACTTCTGTCAGGCTGTGTGAACAGGTATTGGTTAGTCTCATTAGTAATTGAGAAGGGTTTTGGGTGTTTGTGGTTGTAGTAGTTGCCTTCAGTACACCACAGTCTTCAGACTCCTACAAAGATGGACTGCCAATACTTTAAAGTGAGGCCTGGAGTAACGGATGATTTTTTGTCTCAGCATTACTGCGACAACTTCATCTTCCCGCTTGTGCCGCATTTGAGGGTGGGAGAAAGTAAGATAGCTCTCTCTGTTGACTGCAGTCTTCCTCTGGAGCACAAGATGGAGGCCAGTAGAAAAAGACCTAGCTAGTGGATGCAGACTCTTCTTGGAATGGTAGGGATTCTAAGCTGTCATGCTAACTCACATTTGGTCTTTAAGAATTTGTTTTAAAATTCGGGGGTTTTTTTCTTACATTCTTTTATGACTGCCATTTCTGTGCTCTGCCAAAGGTAAGAGTTCATATGTTACATCTCACCTTACAGGGTGGACCCTGTCACGCTTTATTTTTTTATTTTGAAACAGAGTCTCACTTTGTCACCCAGATGGTTCCTGGCATGAAGGAGTTTAAGTTTTAATAATTAAGGAGGCAAACAGTTAATCATAATACAAAATAGAAAGAAATGTAATAATGGCAGCATGCACAGTCAGAGAGAAAATGATTAATTATTACCTAGTACAGTGGTCCCCTAACTTTTTGGCACTAGGGACTGGTTTTATCAAAGACAGTTTTTCTCAGCTTTGGATGGGGGCGTGGGAGATGGTTTTGGGATCAAAGTGTTCCACCTCAGAACATTGGGCATTAGATTCTCATAAGGAGCATACAACCTAGATCCCCTCACTTGCGCAGTTCACAATAGGAGTTCCAGCTCCTATGAGAATCTAATGCCTGGGCTGATCTGACAGGAGACAGAGCTCAGGCGGTAATGCTTCTCAGCCTCCACTCTCTTCCTGCTCGAGGCCATGGACCTGTACTGGTTTGTGGCCTGGGGTTTGGGGACCCCTAACCTAATAGATGTGGGAAAATTTTATGGTAATGTTTGTCTTTGAAGTGTGCTTTGAAAAAAAAAACGGGTTTTAGAAGGGTAACGTGTCAAAGGACAATAGTATATTCTGCAGGGATTTTGGGTCGGTAGGCATATTCTCAATGGGTGAGGAATGTGTGAGAACAGGGAGGAAAAGCAGAGTAATCCAGAATAGAAGTGTGAATATCATGCTAAGTTGTTTGGACTTCAGTTCTAAGAGCAAACCAGTCAGATTTTAAGCCAGGAACATGATAGAGATTCCCTGTATTTGACTTGTGACAGTGTGAATGATAGAGCAATATATTATTTTAAACAGTATCTGAATTTGTTTCCCAAAGGAATGTTACAGTTACTGGTACCATACAAATGGAGATAGTTTTGGTGAAGATGTGGGATTTGAGCACTTGATAATCACTGCCCTCCTTATGTCTAAATCCACTGGCTAGTTTTCTGTATTATTCAACCTAAAACTGCATTGTATGATATGATTAGCTCTGAGAATTCATCTTTTCCTTGATTTGTATAACATTGTGCTTAATTATTTGTTTACCTGCGTGGACTCTCTTTTTCTTCTGCCACTCACCAATTAAACTTTAGTGTTCACTATTTTGTCTTTTTTGTTGATGTAGTGTTTTCTTGATTAATCTCGTTCATTCCCATGGCTTCATATGTCATCTGTAATCTAATGACTTCTAGATCTTTCTTCTAAAGTTCAGACGTAAATTTGCAACTAAATTGGATCTGGAGGTGTCTCAAATTCAGTGTGTTCAACTGGACTTTATTCCTCTCTCTTCTCCAAGGATCTATCTAGGATTCTCAGCTAGAAATCTGGGTCATCTTGAGTACCTGCCCTTTGCAATGCCTAAGTTATTTGAATGTCAAATTTGAAAGGAATTTAGGTATTATCATGATGAACTTCCTTATTTTTTAACCAGAAAAATGAGATAGGTGGTATTATTTGATCTTGGTCTACAAAGCCTGTCAAAGTCACAGGTTAGACTCTAGAAAAGACAGTTTCTAGTAGCACCTAGAAATACCTACAAGTTGCTTTTTGATTCTGGCCATTTCTTGTAGTTTCTACCATAACATTGGCTTTAGTTCTGGTGTTCCCTCATTTCTTATCAAACTGAACTATTATATAAATTGAGAAGTCAGCATGAAGGATTGGATTCAGGTATATTCCTAGACCCAGATAGATGTGTGACTTGTTAAAGGTAGACTCTCTGAACCTCATTTTTACTTCAGTTTTTGTAACTAGTAACCTTTGGTAATATGACATACTAAATAAAAGCCTGACTTGTTAATATGGTTTTCAAGACCCTCCCCAGTTTGGCCTCTGCCTGTCTTTGCAGCTTTTTTTCTTCACTACTTCATGATCTATCCCCATGATCATTCCAGTATACTGCTATTCCAGTATACTATAAATAGTCCTTGCTTATTTTGTTCCTCTGTCTACACTGCATTTTCATAATTCGCTATCAGTTGAGATAACATTTCCTTAAAGCCCAGCTCAGAAGTCACCTCTCAAGCATTTCCTGCTTTTGTGTACTCATTTTGTGTTTGTGTTTCTATAGCATTCTGTTTGTTACCTTTAAAACATATGTATCCCAGTTGTGTAAAGATTTGCTTCTCCCACCAAGGAGGATAGAAGAGCTCTCTGAGATGAAGGCCTTAGTGGAATAGTCACGAGAGAGAGAGAGAGAGAGAGAGAGAGAGAGACATAGAAAGAGAGAGACATAGAGAGAGAGAGAAAGAGAGAGGTGTATGTCTGTCAGAAAGAGAAGGTGGGGAGTGATATTGTTCAATAACCTTTTAAAAGCTCAGTGTCTTTGTTCTTCTTAATGCATAATTCTCTTTAATTGTGATGTGGA